GCAGAATAGAGTAGAACAAAGCAGAATAGAGTAGAACAGAGCAGAATAGAGTAGACTGTGGGTTGCAGTGGTAAAGTACAGGTATAAGGGAAATGGGAATGAAGAGGCTCATAAATCACTACCAACTACAATTAGTTACAACAGACAAACCAGAACCATACATATCTGAATCAATATTATAAATGTCAAGGAAATAACCTCATTACAAAAACAGAAATACTCAGGCACAGTGATTGAGTATAAGGCAATGTCTGAATTTCCTCAGAAACCTTTAAATCAATCCGTCTGGATGATCGGATCGATTCCATCATTTAAAGCACCTCACCAGAAAGCGATATGTAAACATTTGGGCCAGTACCTATCCGATGATAATATCACCGTTTTGGCCGAGAACCAATGCTGTGCCACAGTTCTGCTCAGCTTTAGGGCGAGCACACAATGTACGATATTTTCAACTGTTGCTCTCAGCTACAGCTCAAACTGTAAAATAAATGATTTAAACGTTCACAGGTCACGATACTTTCTTCTTCCGTTCGGCCCGATCCTCTGATGAGATCTGATTGCTCAACCTGTACGACTAAAAGCCACACATCCGACCCCGTAGAGAGATGATGGTCGGTCTCGTCTTAAATGAGGTACAGTCAGAGAAGAAGAAGAATTCCCTTGTTTGTACATGTGCACCGTGGAAGGTTGAGGTAAGTCAGCTCGTAGTTTGTAGGGGTGTGAAAAAAAAAACAATTTGGCGATATATAATCAATTATGATGATTTTTGGCTGCCTTATATAATATAGTTTTTTCAGTTCCTAATATCGATAAAAACAAAATATTTACCTAAAACAGCGAGGGACAATGAGCTATTACTGCATCAACAATGATGGCGCCGTGGAGCCCTTTTACTGTGCGGAGCCGCGCCGTTTCTGTAGATCAGGCAGTCACAGTGGAAGACGTGGACCAAAATAACAAAATGATCAATATCTCCTGATGAAAATATACAGCACTTGCTCTTTTATCTGTACAAAAATATCACAATATATAGCAATATTGCAATATCGTGATAATATTGTATCGTGGAGTATCGTGGCTAAAGGATAAAGTGTCGTTAGCCTAACCAATTTATGCACTCTATACGTTTTGCCAACATAAACATCTCTTTCTCAAAAAGCCAACTTAACATTTCCCTGTCTGTCAACCAAGACAATAAATCCTACATAAGTGGACATAAAGAGCGTCAGACTTCAGAGACTGTTTCACAACATTAGCACAGACTTAGTTGCATTACCTCACAATGACAACATGACAGCTG